CCATTGTCCAGATGGCAAAGCCAGCACGCTGGCTGCCATCATAGTTGAAGTGGGTAAGCCAGCACGCTGGCTGCCATTGTCCCCTTACCAGCAGCCCAAATGCTCACGACGATGAGCTGGGCTGTCACCGCTTGGCCGCCGGTGGGGGGTTTGGGAGGCCGCATCGCGCACAAACACCCACACACTCCCTCAACTTCCACGAACACACACTTACGCAGACTCGTTTCCACACGGACATAGACACACGCACAGAAACCCACACACTACCTCAACTCACTCGACTTAACACTTCTCACTACACACTTACCGGGTAACTCGCACTCTGATTTCCTACGTGATGAAAAATGCTTTCGGGCCACTCGTCGTCTAGTTTGTTCCCATTTCCAGTGCCAAGCTTCATTCAGCTCAACATAAAAACAAGGTATCGCCGCCAATAGTGACCCTGGGCGATTCGCACATTGCCAAAGTGGACAGTACTCAAAAACTCCCAGTTTTTTCATGTTTTCATTTGGGAGAGCTTGGATCATATGTGATTTCGTCCCATTTTTCACAAGGGTCAGCACTTGTAAGGTGGAATTTAGATTGGGGAATAGCAGAAAGTGCACGTTTTTTGGCGCACACGCGTTTTGCAAGTGTATCTTCTTTACACTTGCGGCCACGTTCGGGCCAACGCCTCAAGCAAATTTCCTCGGTTGTTCCACCGAAACTGAAAACTGCGGACATATTGTTCGACGCGTTTTGCGTCACGCTGTCCTAAACCTTTGCGTGACACAAGTGCAAGCGAACGTTAACATGCCCCACCCCACCCCACCCCACATCTACAACGAAGCATCAACTTCGTGACGCAACTGCAAGCGAACGTTAACATGCCCCACCCCACCCCACCCCACATCTACAACCAAGCATCAACTTCGTGATGCAAGTGCAAGCGAACGTTAACATGCCCCACCCCACCCCACCCCACATCTACAACGAAGCATCAACTTCGTGACGCAAGTGCCACCCCACCCCACCCCACCCCACATCTACAACGAAACATCAACTTCGTGACGCAAGTGCAAGCGAACGTTAACATGCCCCACCCCACCCCACCCCACCCCACCCCACATCAACGAGGAAGCATCAACCTGACAGCACCCTAAAATCGCAATTTCCTCTGGGGTCACTAACAGCGGCGATAGCAAAAACAACCATAAATAAATGTATGCATATACAATAATATATATATATATATTTATAACTATGTGATAAGTATGCGTTTCTCTTCCCACATTGCCACTCCATGTCAACTATGCTTTGGTGTTGCTGCGTTGCTGTTTTTTCCGATCCATCCTCATCCCCTGATGGGTGTTTTTTCCCATCAGGAACGTGACAGTAACTCGGAATGGCGCCGACGCGCTGTACACTCAGGCAATGCAGCAAATGCAAATGCACTTTTCAATCCCTAAAACGTGAATTAGGATTATTGTTTAGTCATGTCGGTCGGTCACTGTTTTCCGATTTTGCATCATTTTGAGGATGTCATTTAGCTCGCAGGCTGTGGGCATCGCTCAAGCTGAAGCTCAGCAGCGGCTGCTTGAAGTTGAAGCAAGTGCCATGCACAAGGCCAATCAGCCTTCTGGGCAGTGTGGGGGTTCCCTTTCCGAAGCTCACCCTAAGTTTTGCGCATCACGATCCCTTACTTGTACCTGAAACGCACATGCATTATAAGATCCAATGGCGTTCAACAACATTGAGCAGAATAGGAACCAACAAACGCATCCCTATTGGCATCAGCATCGTAATCGGCAAAGGAGCATGATGAGACTTTGTGGATGCTGCTTTACCAACCTGCTTCCTGCCAGGTCCAAGAGCAGCTGAAGCTGACTCCAGAACAGACGCCAAGCAAGTGAAGGGGAAGGGGTTCCTTCAGTAAACTACTGTTGGTGCTTGTGGTAACCTGAGTGGTTAATAGGCCTTACTCGCGACACTTGATGCGTTTAAACAATCAAAAGAGATCAAAAGAGGGACAGGGACACAGGCAGAAAATGAGGCAAGCGAGCACTCCAGAGATTCAGACTCGGCCCTTCGTTGCTGAGGATGGTCACATACCAGCAGTTCGTCGCCTATCACAGCTTGGACAATGCTTCATTTGTGTCACTTACTCAGTTTCCTTGATGTGTGCGAGAAACGTATGAAGGGACTGGACACCTCAAATTGAGTTGTTGATTTACTGTACAGGTTTTGCACAATAAGCCTGAGGTATGGTCTTGGCAGTGCACTCGTGACCCTTCCTGGAAGGGCTTAAACTCTAAGCCGGGCATATCGAGACAACTGCAAAATGAGGCCCCAAAAAGGCGTCCAAGTATTCAATTGGCTAGAAACAAAGAGGGAGAAGAGAGAGAGACACGAGGTTTGCTTGATCTCCGTTACATCAGCTGGCGAATGGTGAGACTCATAGCTTTTAGCCTCAAGCCCTTTGTAGGCTCTTAGGGTAATGGCGGGAGATTCTGGGAAGGTGAAGGCAGGAGGACTATTATATAACTTGATGTGCTTCAATGTTTCTCAAGCAGATTCTGCAGCAGGAGATTTTTCAACATTGGGATCGCGACGGAAGTGGAGACATATCTGTGGCAGAGTTGACCCGTGTGCTGAACAAGTTGACTCTTGGATCCCACATACTTTTAAGACTCCTTGGCTTAGTTACAAGTGACAAAGCCGCATAATGCCACTCACAGACCATTCTATTGGCGTGCCTACTTCCCAAACCGAATCAACCCATACACTTCAGGCCCAGTGCCATCAGTGGGGACCGGCCGGTTGGGTAGTGTTGGGTGGGGGTAAGAGGTATGGGCTTGTCAGCGGCACAGACTTGTGCCGCAAGATGCATTCTGATGTGTGCTGATGTTACCACTAAAACGCCAAGGAATCCACAATTTGACCAAGCAGCATGTCAGAAAATGTGGATACCTTAGCTTAGTTAGAGATGAGGCGTTCCTTCTGCTCGCATTGGCAATGCGACAGGCTGAAGGTAGAGATTCATGATCTTCAAGAGCGAATGCCTCAGGTTCAGCTGCATGGATGTCAACAGCGATGGCTCCATTCAGTACGACGAGTTCATCGACCCTCAGCACAACACAGCTTACGACTGCATAGCTCCTACTTTGGAGGGCATTTCAGTTTTATGTAAAACAAAAGTGGCTCTGCTTCAGCGAGCGTTTGTTTCCTAAGAACTGGCTTACCTCGAGTGACTCATACAAGGGAGCCAAGGCAGAGTCCGACTTGGAAACGACACTCGCAGGTCTGATGACTGATGACTCAGCTAGCGTCGTGTATTGCCGCTTCCCCACAGGCTGCAATCTTGATGGACGGGAAGGGAGCAGGTGGCAAAGCAGATGCAGCGCGCAAAGCTAAACTGAGGGCCAAGTACGCCAGGCCAGTTCTCCGTAGTGACACACCCCCGCCAAAAAAAAGAACATGACTGTATGTTTTAGGTTTTAGAGGAAGAACTTGAGAAAGCATGTGTATGTGCAATATATCCCGGGTGTGCTTAAACGGGGCACAGGCTTGAAGGTGCATGCATGGGGTTCCCATTCCTTGAAAACCTTCTATGTACAAGATATTCAGGTTGGACAAGAACGGCGATGGCAAGCAACTTGCCACAATAGAGAAATCGCAAAACTTTAGCGGTCAACAGCCCTTAAATTGTTCCAGCTCTCCACGAAGATGAGGCTTGACTTTGTGGAGGTATACGCACCTTGCCTTGAATATTTCTCACGCGTCCGATTCAGGGCCTGGATCCCGATCAGCGTTCTTCTAGGCCCCTAGGTGACCACACGCCGAATTCAGCTTTGATGGCAAGGACTTCCTGCAGAAGAGGTATCCTCAGATGACACTGCCTGACCTGCGGCCACTCGTTTCACCTCAAAGAAAGCTCAATCAATGGAAGACAGTTTCAGACAGAAACCTTGGCTCACACTGTCCATGCAGCTCAGGTTTCTTTATAATTGCTTGATGCTTATATCTTCATGCAGAATGTTCAACACAACATAGCCTCGACCTTGGGCTGCCTGGGTTGTCCTAAGGTGCTGACAAATCCCACGATGGCATTCTTGATTTCTATGAGCTCTTAGAGCCCTGGCGTCACACAAACAACAAGATCATCAAGCATGAGTGTTCCTTTGCATTTTGAGGCAAACCTTCCCGGCAAAGTGTGTGTGTGTGTGTATGTCGTGAGGACATGTTGATGAATGTGCCGTCGCAAAAGGCCGATCCTGGAGCAGCACCCCCCAGCCAGGGGCAACACCCGTGACTTGTCCAGCTTCAAGGGTAGGGAAGTATCTCGACTTGGATGAGCGGCGAGCATATGGCAATATATTGGATTCTTTTGGAGGTCAAATGTTTTATCCTTACTTACAAGGTTGTCAGCTGCCCTGCTCCGACCAGACGCAAGGCACTGTACTCATTCTTGCTAGGAAATGCTGAAGTTGCTAAATTTTTAGCACCACGGCCAGGGATGACATCAAAGCTGCCCTCGAGAAGGAAGAGAGAGATCAGAAAGAATGGATGGAGACACTTGTTTTCAGTTAACTGGACGCCCATGCAATTCCTTTGTGCGTGATCTCAGCTTTCCTCAGCCGCGCTGGGTCACGGTGTTCATGGCCTGTTCCACAAAGATATGGTTCGTCCAGAAGTCTTCCAAGGAAGGTCAATGACATCACATCCAAGATGAAAGAGTTCAAAGATGATGAGCGAAGGCAGTCAAGTATGTCAAGTAAATAGGAATTGAAGAAAAAGTGTTCAACACCTTTGGCAATTGACAACTGTGCTGCTGCATGGTCGAAGTCGAAGATCTTCAAAACCCACTGAAGAAGCAACAAGTGTTTCCACATGTTTCCACTGTCCGAGGCACAAAGAATTCCGAGAAGCCCATGCAAAGGCAGGTGTCGCCCATGTCCATGCAACAACACTCCGACTCCAACCTTTTGCCGATCAACGTATTGATGAGGGCCGCAGCGGTCGGGAACTGTGCAGGTGATGCGAGAGCACTATGCCAAGACGGGTCAGCTTGCAATTTGAGCAGAGCCAAGTATATAATGCAAGCTCAGGCTTGTGCCACGAGTTGAAGTCGCCCCGAAGTTTGCCACAAGACCACTGCAAAACGTTTTGAGATGTTCAATGAGTCCCTCTTAAAGAGCAAGGCAGCAAGACGACGATAAAGAATGTCTCACCCGAGCTCTCCCCGTGAGCAAAGAAGCCACTTTTGGCGCTCTTCACTGTCTCAAAGAGAGAGTGTCGACAAAGGTAACGCCTGTGATGATTTCGTTTCAAGAGCATTCAGTGCAGCTACATTTTGAGTACTAATCAATCTATTTGCTACTCATGTGGTAGTGAGTTGTGAGCCGTGAGGCCCGGATTGGTTCAAGCTTGGTTGCTGTGCTCTAAAAAAATGGCGAACAAAAGGTGTGGCAAGAGCCCAAGGGAGGATGAAGCCAGTTAGAACTCATTAGCTCGATTGCTGTTCAAAACACCCTCACAAAGCGAAGCAGTTGCTTGAAGTCCCTAACAGCATTGGAACACATTTGCATAGATTTATGAACTTCCCAGCAGCATGAGGGGCCCGGTCACAGGCGAGTGTGAGAACATTGGATGACAGGTACCAACTAGAAACGTGAAGCAACGTATCCAAATTGGAAGGCATCGGCGCAACCTCTCAAGTGCCTCGACCAACAGCCGGGCTCTAAGAATTTCAGCTCCGTTTGGTGCTCTTTCTTCCTCTCCACCTGGATGACGGTCCCGTTTTGGAGCTTTGGCGAGGTCATGGAAGACTCGGAAGAAGGCTGCCTGTGCACCTGAATCACCTCTGAAGATTAAAACCTTGCGTTCTAATGTTGTTGACTTTGGGGCACAAAACGCCGTGTTTGGGTTTGGAATTCCACTCCGCTACCAGTTCCAGCTTCGGGGGCCCAAATGTCGACCACATCATGCTTTTACGCACCAAACACTACTAGCGAGGTTGCTAGTGATTAGACTTATTAGCAAATTCAGGTTGCATTAGGTCTTTAATTTGAATTTGTGCGGCTCCAAGTTTGTGGAGGCTACGAGGTGAGAACTCCGCGAAGTTTTGATGGGCAGGTGGATGTGGATCAGGACTTGTCGTTTGCACAAACAGCATACTGGTATTTGAAAATAACATTGAGTAAGATCTGAAGTTCCAGTAGTAAATAATTTCGCTGTGATGTTTGGAACTGATATGTTTGCAGGACCTCTACCCGCTTTGCATCGTTTGGACGCCAATCCATGGGTGCACCTGGTGTTTCCCCTTCGTAGGCCTGGGGCTGAGCATTGTTTCGTCAGTCCGTGACTGGACATGGAAGACTCAGACCTGTGCCAGTCCCATTCTATCCACCAAATGGCTTGGACAAGAAGAGCATTGAACGAAAAGTAGCTGGCAAACATGATCAAAGTTTAGTGGCGGTTGCTTTTGAGCCATTGCCCCGTTTGAGCCCATGAGCAGTTCAGGTCACATGGGCATTGGGACTGCAGACGGCCAGGCAATCTGCCAGCCTTTGGATGAGTGCAAGTGCAAGTTGCTTCATTGTTGAATTTTGCACCTTAGCTTGACCACCATCTGAAATTGCATACTAGGGCAGAAGAATCTAAGAATGCATTGGCTGCAGAAGGATGTGAAACGAGTGGCCAAAACACTCCCTTGAATTTTGATGTATTGACGTCTGTATTGCGTTTGCTTTGTTTGTTGCAGCTGGTTGAAGTCCGCGTTCTTTTCAACTCAGCCTCGGACGCACCCAACTTCCAACGCGGAGGACATGTACAGACGTGAGTATAGGTTTGTACAACCTTGCCAGGTGTCAAATATATGCTATACACTTCTTGTGCTACTGGTAACATCACCATCGATTACCCCTGTACCCTTTGAACATTGATGTCAGGTCATGGAATTCATGGGCTTCGGCGCAACAAAAGCGCCCCGAGGCGCATGAACTCACTAAATCACGAGACAGACTTGCACAAAAGGCTATTGTGTTGAATAAGTGTTGGATTAGCGCTTGATGAGCCATACCAGGTGGCCTTTCTTTTGGACCAGTTTGCCTGAGACTCATGTGTATTTCCAGGCTCTTGATTGAGTTGGCTAGTTGCTTGGTCAGTGTGTTTGAGGTCGGTATGTTCAGCTGAGCACTCGCAAGGTTAGAAAAGGGACGCCGGAAGCTTGTAAAGTGTTCTTCATGTGCACTCAAAACCGACAAGTCTAGTTGTCGTGTTTGTGTAGAAATGAACGACAAAAGCCATCGAAGACCTATTGCCGACTGTTTGCTAAACCTTCGAGGTGGGACGATGCAATTCACACAGCGACCATCAAGGAGTGCTTTTCTAATCGTGATTTCGCTACTGGCCCACTCTTTGATCCTCAGGTGGAAGGGCGTCCTCACGGTGGTTGCATTTCAAATTGCTTGGCTCCCACAACAGAGTCGTGGGGGTTCAAGTTGCATCTGAGCTAAACCTCACTCATTCGCCACGCTCAGGCCACTCTTTTGTGGCTGATTGTTTGCATGAGATGAGGTGCAGTGGCCGCTGCGACGGTGATTGAAAAACGACACATTGATTCAACTAGGACCTACCCTCAAAACAAAGTTTCTTGCTTAGGATGTCCGTTTTCCAGCTATACAGCAGCCAGAAGCTCCGTTTCCAAAGAACAGCACTTGTGTTATGCGGGTTCTTATGGCTCTTTTATGATGGACTGGAGTGGCCGAAAGACTCTGAAAATCGAAATGGATAGAACCGAAAGTGAGAGGTATGCTGGTGTGCCTTGCTGGAACTGGTTGCCGCATTCTGAACTTCAGCAGGGCGTTGTCGAGAGGCTTATGTCAACAGCCATTTTTGCCGGAGACAGGTCTTATGTCTTGGCTGTTTGGGTCTTTGTGTTTGCGCAGGGCTCAGGCTGCGGCTTCGGTTCACTAGACTTTGGAGTGGCCTCAAGTAACTTGTCTCCTGCTCCATCTTAGGGCCACTTTACAACCTGCCCTCGCACCGCAGCGGGTAGCCCAGCAATGCCGTGTAACTTACAAATTGCCACAAAACTTGGAACATGTGCAATTAGTTGCTTTGGCTCGGACAACGCTCCACAGACAACAGGGAAACTATTTTGCAGCATAGCAGCTCTTTAGCACACCGCTGACATTTCAAGAAACATCAATAAACCAAGACATGGGATTGGTAGCTTCAAGCCTCAAACAGTGAACTTCCTTTAGACAAGCAAAGCTTAACAACTTCCCATGGTATCTTTGATGGCTTTGGATGTGGATGGCATTGGGGGGCATATTTGCACTGTCCGCGCCACAGATCATGTCGGCCGCTGCTTTTGTCATTGTCAGTTGCTGCCAAGGTCACTGCGAGAGAAGAATGGACCGTGCGAAATATCAAGGAAGCCATCGAGATGAAGAGTGGAATTCCAGCAGACGAGCAACGATTGGTCTCAGGCAGCTTCGTGCGGGTGTTTCAATCTGTTTCAGATTCGCGGCCTATGATGGCCTTGATTTTTCACTCATGCTGTTACGCTGTTCCAAGTTTGACTCATGCAGATGTGTATGTCAATGTATATATATATATGTGTGTGTGTGTCAACCCCTGTTCCTAAGGGTTCCTTTTTCCACAAATGCAGGGGCGTGCAGCATCTGTGGTCCACTGCACGCAACGAAGCTAAGACCACAGATGGGAAGGGATCAAGGACGCTTGATCCTGTACCTGCTATGTTTTCACAAGCTGTGACCCTAATTTTCCTTGGCTTGCTTCCATGGTAGTTCTGCATGATACCTCCCGTAAACCTTTTTCCGCGTTTCTTGCAGCTGAGTTGCGCTGACGTTCGACACTGCAGACATGTCAACAGATTGTTCAACAATTCCGGTTCGCCGACTCTTTCGCCTTGCGGTTCCATCATTCCTTTTGACCTGGGAATTGAGCCAACTGAAAACCAATGTCAGAGTGTGAACCGCTCAGCCGTCCCACTTGGGTGCTGGGTGTGATCCTCCGCCAGGAGGCGCTGCTTTCATACCGGAAATCGTTTTCCTGAATTATCGTCTTTTCATCGTGGATCACTGTCACTACTTCCATGCCAATACTGAATTAACAGGAACAAAGGGCCGCCGGGCTTTCACGGTGAACAACCATAGCCGCCGGGCTAAAAAACGGAATTCCACTTCAGGCCAGGCATGTTTCCCACACCCCCCCCCCCCCCCCCCCCCCCCCCCCCCCCCCCCCCCC